CCCTGGTTCACCATCAGGGACCCTCTCAACAAATGCCCTTGCTCTGCAGAGGACAGTGCTGCTACTGTGTTGATGTAAGCTGGCTCACTAGCTACATTGAGAGGTCAGTCAGGATAATGCCTCACTTCTGGGTATCCAGCAGCTAGGGGCTGTTGAGATGAGCCCGTAGAGGAGGCCAGAAGGTCTCCTAATAAGGCAGTGTAACAGAAGAATGTCTGGGAACACCTTCACTACTCGGCCAGGCGGCGGTGGCACATGCCTTTAGTCCCAGCACTCAGGAGGCAGAGGCAGGCGGATGGATCTTTGTGAGTGCGAGGTCAGTCTGGGCTACAGAGCAAGATCCAGGACAGGGACCAAAACAACATGGAGAAACCCTGTCTCAAACAAAACAAAACAAAACAAAAGAAACCCGAAAACATCTTCACTACCCATATACTCTGCCCAGTTTATACTGCACCAAGAGAACTGGGCACCAGCATGCCCAGTGTGGGCTGCTCCAAGGCCACAGCAGGGATTCTCCCAGTCTGCAATTTAAGGGCTTCAACAGAGAGTAAAGTCACTACTTTGTCTTTTCTACTCTGGTGTGGCACGGAGCCTGTCTCCTTGTGAGGAAAAGCCCTCTGCGGTGACTGTGAATGGATTGTCTTCCTGTGGCCCCATTTATTTGAGACAGGGCTTCATAGAGTTCAAGCATTTACTGTGCTGCCCTGGCTGGCCTTAAATCCCCAGTCCTCCTGCCTCCACCTCCAGAGTGCTGGGATCCCAGGACTGTCCACCCTGCCCAGTCTGCTCTTGTGGTTTCTTTCTCGTCATGTTACTGGTGTATAAGAAGACTACAGATTTTTGTGTGTTCATTTGCATCCTGCCGCTCTGCTGCAAGTGTTTAGCAACTCTGAGAGGTTTCCAGGGGAGGCTTGAGGGCCTCATGCATGTATAGGGTCACGTCATCTGCAAATAAGGATGTGCTGAGTCGTTCCCTTCCTGTTTATATCCCATTTACATCCCCTCTCATCATATCGCGCTAGCCGAAACTCTAAGCTCTGTGTTGAACAGGAGTTGGGAAAGTGGACACTCTTGTCTCCCTGATTTTAGTTGGACGGATGAAACAAAATAACCACAGTAAGGAAGTCAATCAATCTCAGAAAGACAAGTGCTGCATCCTTTCTCTTGCTTGTGAGTCCTTGCCTGTGTAGATACATAAAATCCTATCTGTACAGATAGCATGGATTAGAAATAAATCTGTCAAGGGGAACAGGGGGCGCTAGTGAGAGGGTAGAGGGAATCAGGGTATGGGGAGAATATGCTACATTATGCACTTATATGAAATTGGCCTTAAGTTACTCTGTATAATAATTGTGTGCATGTGTGTGTGTGCGTGAGTGCATGGGCATGCACAGTCATGCATGTCAAGGACAGAGACACGAAGCATGGTTCTTATTCCTATCTTTGCAGACTGGTTAAGGGTCTCGTCAGTGTGGACATGAGTGAGTGAGTGTGTGAGTGTGTGTGTGTGTGTGTGTGTGTGTGTGTGTGTGTGTGTGTGTGTTCAAGAACACTGCTATGCATGAATTGAAGACCAGAGGAGAGCCCTAGATGTCACTCCTCAGTCACCGCCCACTTTGTTTTAGTGAGACAGGGTCTCACTGACCCGAGAGCTTGAGGATGCAGTTAGACTGTCTGACTGGCAAGCCCCAGGGATCCACCTGTCTCTGCCTCCCCAGCACTGAGATTATAGGTACATGTCACCATGTCCAGCTTTTTACATGGGTGCTAGGGATTCAAACTCAGGTCCTCACGCTTATGTGGCAAGCACTTTACTGACTTCCCAGCCCCTTGCAAAACAGTTTTGTTTTGTTTTTAAAGGGCTCTGGGCGCTGGGCAGGGAGAAGAAAGACCTCTGGGTGGCCTTCTTAAGAGTATGGGGCAGTAATGAGGCCCCACCCACCGATGGGGAGTGAGACCCCAAGGTGCTTGGCAAGCACCCATCCCTGTTCACCTCCCTGTCCTCAACATTCCTGCATGTTTATCTTCCCTGGATGTGAGCTGTCCTCATCAATTCCAGCACACACCCCCTCGCCATGACGGCCAGCCTCGTGGAAACTATGCATCATGTTCAGACTGGCGCTGGTGTCAGTGACAGGAGAAGAGTTTGTCACCAACCCCTCTGTTTGCCTGACAATAAGAGGACCCAATATTTCATGAAAATTAAGTGCCTAGAGCATGCCTGATGGCTTACAGTCCTGATAAAGGATGGGCCAGCAGACGCTGGGAGCCAGGGACTGGAGGCCCTGAGCATCCTCGGTGGCTGGGAACTCCAAGTGAATAGATGGAGAGTACGCCACTGTGAGGGCTAGGGGCTGGGAGGCCTAAGGCCAAGGTCAGTAGAGGCCCAGCCTTTCAAGCGGCAGGCTCCTGCTCCAAGAGCAGCAGTGGCCTGCCTGTCCTCCCAGGGAACACAGCAAACAGCAAGGCTTCCGAAGGGCTCTCCATGGAGGCTGGCCCCACGCACGCTGGCCCCAGGCCACAGTTGTTCCATCCTTACTCTCCCCATCAGGATTTATCCTTCCTGCCACCCGAAGTGACCCAGCAGTTGGCATCCAAGTGTCTGCAAGTCCCCTTCCTCAGGAGCACCAGTAGTAAAGGATGTTGTGCGAGCAGTGAGCTCCAGGAGAGGGGCAGCCTTAAGGACCAGAGCCACACAGGGGACTTGAGCAGCTCAGTCCCTTGGCCGAGGCTGTATGTGGGGACAACTGCAGCCTGAAGCAAGGTGGGAGGGAAGGGACACACGTACTCATTCATTAATTTGGCCATACATTTAGCACATACGGCAAGGTGGAAGAGTAGAACATTCATTCATTCATTTACTCATTTGTATTTGATAAAGATGATATATGTGCAGGGTGCTGAGTTAAGAGGGTCATGGCTCTGGGAGCCCACCTACACTCTGACTTTCTAAGTTCTGCAGATGGCCATCGATCCACTTGCCCACACCATCTGTCCATCCATCCACCCACCCATCCATCCATCCATCCATCCATCCATCCATCCATCCATCCACCCACCCATCCACCCATCCCTCCCTCCGTCTGTTCCTCTCCTTTTTCCCATCCATTCACCACCAGTGCCCAACATCAGCCAAAACAGGAGATCCAGCCTGGTCCCAGCCCAAGGACATTGGCAGTGGGCAGCAGGTTACCTGCGTCAGTCCTAGTGGAGAGGCTGGCCGCAGGCCCTCAGCCTCAGTCTTGACCTTGCTGCGCTTATGAATGGTGATGGGATTCACGGTGCTGCTCACAGCAGACTCGCTGCTCTGCTTGTTCTGAGGGAGGAGGCAGAGGACAGTCTGTCACACAGGCACAAGGCACAGGACCCCTGAATTCTAGCTGAGCTGTGCCTCTGGAGTTTGACCACACAGACCATCTAGGACAACCCTGTATTTTGATGTATGTGTACACATATGTGTGTAGTACGCGTTATATGCGGGTTCACATCTGTATATTTGTGTTCATGTGCACACACATATGTGGAGATCAGAGGTTACTCTTGAGTATGTTTCTTAGCCATCACCCACACTTTTTGAGGGTTTCTCACTGGGACCTAGGACTCCCCAGTTAGGCTAGGCTGGCTGGTCACTGAGCCCCAGAGATCCACCTGTCCCCACCTGCCTAGCGCTAGAATTACAAACATATATCACCATGTCTGGCTTTTTACTTTTAAATTTATTTTTTTATTTTTTGAGACAGGGTTTCTCTGCAGCCCTGGAACTCAGTCTGTAGACCAGGCTGGCCTCGAAATCAGAGACCCGCCTGCCTCTGCCTCCTGAATGCTGAGATTAAAGGCGTGTGCCACCACTGCCTGTCAGTGCCTGGCTTTTTAAATGTGGATCCTGGGGATCAAGCTCAGGTCCTCGGGCTTGCAAGGCAAACTCTTCACCCACTGACTATCTCCTTAGCTTTCCCACCCTTCTCTATTTTTGAAGCATCAAAAACGGAGTCTCTTGGATTGCTCCTCCAACCAGGCCCAGCTGAGGCAGGGGAGCCCAGATACCTTGCTTCACAGGAGGCGTGTAGTGTTTCTGTGTGGCACAGGACCCTGCGCATTGAAGCAGGACAGACCGAGTGATGGGGGCGTAGCCTCTGCCCAGGCCAGGGGGCTCAGTGCAAGGCCCTTCCCATCACGTGGCCTCTGTCCTAAAAGCAACCGACCAGAGTTGTTTTTCTCTAAATTCAGTGGCTGCTTCTTAAGCAACCATTATCCTAATCAGCAACCGCAACTCTGCAGCCACCAGCCGCTGTTCTGCAGCAAGGGCTGCAGCCGGCAGGAATTCTGTTCCCTCAGGCACCAACTCTCTCACAGCCGCTAAAGGGAACTCTATCTAGATCTCTACCCCTCTCTAGAATTCAGGCTTCAAAGGTTGAGGTGGAATTCTGCTGGCTCAGAGAGGCTGAATAGCAAATAGCTGACCTTCCCTCCTTGCTCGAATCTTTCCAAATAACCAGCGTCCTTCTGTTCCGCCCGGAAGTAAGAAGCCTAGCTACACGTGGCTCCTCCCTACCACTTCTGTCAGCTAGTCTCTGACTCAGCCTCCTGACTGCAGGTAAATTTTATTTAGTCAAACAAATGTAACATGTCTTTTCATCGTTAAACAAATGTTCCACAGCATAAACAAATGTAACACATCTTAAATTAATATTCCACAGCAAACCAGTCAGGTCACAGTGCAGAGATCTCTACCAGCTCCTACCATAACCTGCCCTCAGGGGCTGGGTAAGCAGCGGTGGCCACCTCTGGTTCTCTGCACCCACCTACCTGGTTGGCATCATTTAGACAATTGCTGCTGTTGCTGCTGAGCTGGGTAGGCATGGTGCTGATGGAGGTGAGCGCCATGGGCTGCTGGGCCAGGAAGGTGGGTGAGGGCTGGATCAGGGGTGGCATGTGTCCGAAGGCTGAGCCCAGGCCCCGTTGCTGGCTCAGGATCTGCTGGTAGGCCACGGGATTGATGGGGTGGGGGAAGGTAAAGGCTGGGCTGCAGTGGAGAACAGAAGGGGATGGGGAAACATGTGGGGTCACCGTCAAACCAACACTTCCTGGGCACACAGGACTGTACCTGAGCTCGGGATGGCACGATGTCAATCATACCATGCCCATGGCTTGCCCTCATGTAGGCTTACTGCCCACACCTAACTCCGTGAATGCAACCTTGACTCTGGGCAGGCTGGCTCCCTGCAGGTGCCAGGGTCGAGCTCAGCCCCGCACCTGGCTGCTTCTGTGCTCTGACACCTGGGATGCACCCTGACGCAATGCTGTCTATCGGAACTTCACTTGACCCTGGACCACCATGCTCTCTCCTTGGTACTGAGTCCTCCAGCTCACACTCCCCCCCCCCTTTTAGCTTCTGCTGCACTTACAGGCTGTCATACACCTGCCCATGAGGCACTTTTTCCTGGCAAGACATAAGAGGATGCTGGTGGCCCTTGAGACTATGCCACCAGAGACATACGGTTTCCTCCTTGCTCACCCCAGCATCTCTGCAGTGTGAGCTAATGCCGTGAGGAGGCCCCATGTAGAGCCTCCTGTCCACAGCACGGGGGACATGCTCCTGGACACAGAGGTCCATAATCTGCAAAAGAGGCAGAGACGAAGCCTCGGTGTCTTAGGGGGGAACTCAGAACAATGCTAACCTCAAATTCTCTCTCTCTCTCTCTCTTTTTTTTTTTTAGATTTTTAAAAACATTTTTATTTATATGTCTGTAACTGTGTATGTGTTGGTACCCACAAAAGCCAGAAGTGGGGACTGAATCCCCTGGAGCTAAAGTTACCAGTGGTTGTGAGTTGCCCAATGTGAGTTCTGGGAACGAAATCCAGGTCCTCTGGAAGAGTAGCAAATGCTCAGTAACAACTGAGCCATCTCTCCAGCCCCATCAGCCTCAAATTCTTGCTCCTTGGTGTGGGCTTAGCCTTTAAAATGCTCAGTGCGAGAGCAACTTGTTACGCAGCAGATTTTGAAAACAACTGCACTGTAAGCGCCTATATCCAGCCCTCGCAAGTGGCCGGGGCTGGGGCAGGCACACGTTTCGGTCATGCTGGTTGGATCTGAGTCCTCGGGGAGGTGCATGGAGTGAAAGGGGGACAGCAGTGTTGTTGGGGCCACAGTGAGTGAGACTTGTTACTAGCCCTTGAGATGTGCTTCGGGCATGGATCACACACCAGTGTCACACCTGGTGTGACCTTTCGTGTTAGCCAACAGCGAGATCCTCTGCCACACTAGGGAAATACTAGAACAGCCACTTCATTAACAACCGTGTGTGTGTGTGTGTGTGTGTGTGTGTGTGTGTGTGTGTGTGTACATAGATGTATATATATTTTTCAGCATTTGTATATGCAGGTAAGGAACATGCCCAAGTATACATATGGAAGTCAAAGACAACTTTGGGTATCAGTCCTCACCGTTCAATGTGTTAGCGACTACAGGCCAGCCGTGAGCTTCTAGGGACCCTCCTGTCTCCACTTCCATCCCTCCACAGGAGTGCTGACTATGGATACTTGGGCTACATGCCTGACTTTAGACATGCGTTCTGAGGATTCAAACAACACTTACAACTCATGTGGCTACTGTTTCTACCCACTAGGTTATGTCCCCAGCTTCTAAGAAGGCCACATTTGACCTTGGCTACCTCTGATGCCATGGTGGAACCCCTGATGACAGGTTTACCATGTAAGGATGTACCCCAGGGTTGGCATGAACTCTCTGTGTCACTGTTGATTTGTTGTTGTTTACATATAGGACCTCTTGTAGCCCGGGCTGTCCTCGAACTAAGTAGCCAGTGGTTCTGAACTTCTGATTCCCCTGCCGCTGTGTCCTGAGTGCTTGGATTACTGGCATGTGCCACTACTGCCTGGTTTTATACAGTGCTGGGGGCAGAACCCAGGGCTTCGTGCATGTCAGTCAGGGCCTCTACCAAAAAGCCACATCCCCAGCCTCACTGCTGCTTTTGAAGTATCAACATAGTTGCTAGTGTGTTGAGACACTGGCGTTAACTTCTGTCTTTCTCCAGTAGAAAGCTCTACCTGAAAGGCCACATTCCGCCATGCGGCCCCAGCCCAGCTCCCAGTTCTTACCCCCACGTGCTGCCGGGGCTCACCTGAGGGCACCAGCCGACAGATGTCCATAGGAGCCGCTAGCTGCTGAGCTGCTCCTGGAGTTGTTGATATAAGCTACCAGTGAGTTGGGAGAGGTCCGGATCATGCACTGCAGGTCGAGGCTGGCGTCTGAGAGTGGGGAGATGGAGAGCGCCCACTTGCGGCTCAGGCGGGGGGTCACTCGTGGGCTAGAGAATCGCGACGCTGTGGACAGCCAAGGAAAGACATGTTAGTACCACCGATTTCCACCCACATCATCAATGTCCATGATTTCTCCGTGCTGTGGTGTGGTGGTGATAGGCTCATCTTCAACACTGAAGAGGTTCTCATGGGCAGGGGAGTGAACAG